AAAAAAATTCAGAATCCTTATTCTAGAATTCGTTCAAGTCTATTTTTTCAACCTTTAATAAATATACTAATTTAAATTTTCCAGTTAAGAAACTGGTCTCCAGTGAGATGGGAAGCAACATGAGAAAATAATAAAGGGGAAAGATGGGAGGCTGGATCTTTTGTAATGTCAGTTAGCTACTATACTGACTCTAGAACCATTTACCTCCAGACTTCCTGTTGTGAGAGGTAAGTGACTTTTTAAGTGAAAGAAGGAAGCAAAAGAGAGAAATAAATCACAAAGTTTTATGTAGGATTCATAAAAATATCTTTTCTTTTTCTTGGAACACAAATGGTGAAAACTTGAGCCCTCTAAAGACCTTGGTATGAATACTGAGCAGATAATGATTACACAGAGCAGGAGTTTCTGGAAAATTTGGCTGTAAAGTAGTCTTCTGGAAGATCACAAAGTGCTCAAAAATTCTTTGACCTAAAGAAGGGAAAGAAGTATTAATATATTAATATATCTCCTTGGCAAATTTGGGGTATTAGTGTTCATCTTCATGTGAGAAAATATAACTGAAGACTCCAACTGTGTAAGTAACTATCACAATACCATACCACTTATACTTCTTTCCACAGAAATATCACCAAATACTTCAGCAATAAGAGAATGAACTATCAGATCATGATAGGAGCTTTTAATTTATATGTAAGACTGACGTAGTCCTAAAACTCAGCACACACTGAAGGGAGAAGAGGGAAGGGGAATAGGGATGGGGGTAACAGAACACAAGTTATATCATGCACAGGTACAAATTCTCTTCTCAGTAATGTGATCTTTATCTAAAATATACCAATAAATTCAAATAAAAAAATAAAACAGCTATAACTCTAGATTTATAATCTACATAAATATATACCAGTAGTATATGCAGCTTTAAAATCAATAATGTCTATTAGAGTTTAAACAAATTTGCAGATTAAACATACAGTAGATCCATAATGTTCCTAAAACACAAATTTCAATCATATAATCCACAATGTAAGTGTGTGGGCAAAGTTAGTTATATAAGTTGTGACTGAACCTAGCCAAATGATCAATACCACAATGTAAGACTCTCATAAAAAAATTATCCTGAAAAGACAAAAATTATTGCCTTGTAAAAGTGACAGTTGCCTACTAGTACAATTATAACTTTATTTATTTTAATAGCATTATAAATGAATTCTATTCTATATTTTGACAATTTAAAAAATGTCATTTGACATGTGAATTTCCTAGATATGCTTTAACTTTACATGATAGGAAAAACAACCATATATTATAGAGATGTAAAATGCTGAGGTTATATATCTCTTACAAATGGATGTCAAGTCCTTACTATCATAAACAGCAGACATTTTATAAAAGGACAAAGAAAAAAAATCAAGAGTCTCTCAAAACTGAACAAAGGGCTGGGAGATAGCTCAGCTGCATAAACGCCTGCCTTGTACAAGCAAGGTCCCAAGTTTAATCCCCAGTACCACAAAACAACAATAACAACAACAACAAAAACTCAACATAGAGAAAGAAAAAAATGAGGCTCTTCATTAGGTCTTAGATCCCTCAGTTAAACACAGGTACATGGATATTAGTTATATAGTTCCCTTTACCACTGTCTCAAATGTTCAACAGATTCTCTACCTATGCCTTTATCAATATGGCAAATATATTTATA